TAAGAAGAGGAAGAAGAAAAAGGTAAAGATACAAATTGTGAACAACAAACATGCATCTATCAACAAGTGAATCTAAGAATCAAGTGAATAAATAATCTGATGTACAGAAAAAAAAACTAATACATTGAACTATATAAAAATTGAAAACTTTTGCTCTGTGAAATAAATATCTGATTTCAAAAATGTAAAACTGTACTAATTAAGTCAATGTGATACTGTTGTTTATTATACAAATAGGTCAATGGATAGAAAGAATGTCTAGAATTAGATCCACACATATATGGCCAGTTCATTTGCGACAAAGGAACTAAAACAATTCTGTGAGAAATAAAATTCTTTTTAATAAATTATGCTGGGAAAGTGAATAACAGTATGGAAAAATGAACTTCAACCCTTATTTCCCACCATACAATAAAATCAATTTGAGGTAATCATAGACCTAAATATAAAATATAATATGATGAAGCTTCCAGAAAAAAATGTATATTTTTGTGATCTGGGAATAAGCAAAGATTTCCTAGCTTGGACACACACACAAACATAAACACACACATGCACACACACACAAAACAACAACAAAATTAATAAACTTGCATTCTTGAAAAGACACTGTCAACAGGGAAGCATCCATCAGACTGTCAAACCTCAGAGGGAAGGTAGGGGAGGGGAGGGATAAGGGAGAGAGATCAACCAAAGGACTTGTATGCAAGCATATAAGCCTAACCAATGGACACAAACACCAGGGGGGTGAGGGCATGAGTGGGTAAAGAAAATAAATAAATAAATAAATAAATAAATAAAGAGATCTTAAAAGAAAAAATATTTGCCATAGAATGAGATATCTACACTAATAAAAGAGAAACATGCAAATTGGTGTCACTCTGCTACACCCACCAGCCAATCAGGATGAGTATGCAAAATAACCCAACAAAGATGGTGGTTAATTTGCATATGCAGGCGCAGAGCGAAGACTGAAGGCTTCGGCCCCAGCAAAGACTAAAGACGACTGAAGACTGAAGACGACTGAAGACTGAAGAGGCTTGGCTTCTCCGTTGCAGCCAGAGCGAAGGCCTGGGTCCCGGTTGCCAGAGGAAAACTGGTGCCGGCAGCCAGGGGAAGGAAGGCCTATTGCACGAATCTCTTCGTGCAATGGGCCTCTAGTATATATATAATTTAGGATTACAACATGAGACAATTTCAATCCTCTCAAAAATCAGCCCAGCCCTTAATGCTGTACAGCTGTCATACCACTGATGAGAATCACTAATTGCCATAAACATGTACATGGCCAAGTTTGTTCTGGTTTCAATTTGTGCACTGCCAATATGTTATTCCTTATTTGAGACAGCAGTGGTGTACAGACCCTACAGGGGCCTCCATGATTACTGTTCCTTGCTGTTAACACCCCATATATATTCCTCCCCTTCAATGTGGGCAGGACCCATGACTTACTTCTAGCCTGCAGGATATGGCAAACATGAAGGGATTTTGCATATAATTAGGATGATAAGTTAACTTGTAACCAAACCCAAGTTCGGCTGGCTGCTGCAACACAAGCCAAACTCGTGAGACAGGAAAGAGGTTTATTCATGTCTGGCAACCTGAGAAGATGGGGGACTCTCGTCCTAAGGTTCATCTTAACATCTCAGTGTCGGAAGAGGTTTTTAGAAGGGAGGAGAGGAAAAGCACAGCAAAGAGGAGGAACTGTGGAAAGGCAGGCAGTGTTCTTCCTCATCCCAATGTGGATATTCATGGTCAGCACCCTTGAGTTGGCCATCTGGTTATTGTCAGCTGCCTTTCTGTCCCTGGGTAGTCGGCATTAGCAGAGGTCTATAGGACAGGCTGCTCCTTACATTCACACAGAAACTGAAACTGCTAAGCTGTAAAGTATACTAAAAAACGTTTAGCCCTAGCTGGTTTGGCTCAGTGGATAAAGCATTGCCCATAGACTGAAGGGTCCTGGGTTCAATTCCAGTCAAGGGCACATAAGTTGGTTGCAGGCTCAATTCCTGGCCCTGGTAGGGACTTGTGCAGGAGTCAACCAATTGATGTGTCTCTCTCACATTGTTGTTTCTCTCTGTCTGACTCTCCCCCTCCCTTTCACTCTTTCTAAAAATCAATGGGAAAATATCATTGAGTGAAGATTAATAAACAAACAAACAAAAAAAAAACCCTTTCAACATGTAAGCTCTAATTTTGACAGAAAAATCAGGTTAGAGTGACAGTCTGGCTTTGACATTTATTATGATTAGCATGGATAGCTTTACATAAGTATAGCATATGTGTTCCGCATTACAAAATGATTTTTAATTAATTAAAAGCGAGCTGCCCCAGAATTGGGTTTGCTAGTCTTATATTTGTCTATTCGCCTGTGTAAGAATATGCTTCTTCTGGAAAGGTTTATGGTGCTTTTAGATCTGTCCTAGTGAATTTTTGCTATCTGTATTTATTCTGTGCTGAAGCTGAAATGGTACAATCAAGGCAGCAAGTTCTCTGTATGTCCATATAAAATTTTAAAAAACCTTCACGTACTATTGTGTGAGTTTTAAATCTTGCCTACCTCTGGAGAATATTAATAAAATAGATTCTATACTCTCTTATATGAAGTGTCAGTGACAGATAAGGATGGCGTTTTCAGCCTTTGACAGGCCTCTATGGATGAATCACAGTGAAGGTCCTCAGGATATTGGAGCCAAGTCTTGCCATCTTCTGCAGCTAGAGAGACAGCTCTTAGCCTGCAGCTGAACCTTAGTAGAGACAAAACCCTTGACCATGGACTACCAAGTTACCATGTGACCTGAGCTGCCCATTATTACCTGAGTGTTATCTGACCCACTGAGCCATAAAAGTGCACATGCAAAATCATCGAATGGAAGTGGAATACATAAGATCTGGCCCAAGCAGGCCCTGACAGCACTAGGAAATTACCTGAAGAAGTAGCCCAAATGCCCATGGTCCCCACTCCTGCTACACTGCCCTTTCTTTTCCAGCCTGCACCTCTGGCCTCATGGAGAGTTCCCTACAATCAGTTGACACAGGGAGAGGGTCTTAGGTCTGGTTTACAGATGATTCTGTACAACATGCAGGTGCCATCCCTAAGTGGAAAGCTGCAGCACTGCAGCTCCTTTCTTGGGACATCTTCAAATGACAGTGGGTAAGGGAAATCCTCCTAGTGACAGAATTCTGACCATTGTACCTGGGTGTTCCCTTTGCTTAAGAGAAGAAATGGGTAGAGCTGTTATTATATACTGATGCACGGACTATGGCCAATGGTCTGGCTAGATGGTCAGCAGCTTGGAAGGAACATGATTGGGAAATTAGTGATAAGGCAATCTGAGAAAGAGGTGTGTGGACAGACTTCTCTGAACAGACAAAAATTGTGAAGATATTTGTGTCCCATATGAATGTTCACCAAAGGGTGGCTTCAACACAGACAAATTTTAATAAACAGGTAGATAAGATGACCTGTTCTGTGGATAATATCTCTTCTCAACCACCCCTGGTATCACCCAGTGGGCTCATGTACAACATAATTGGAGCAGTAGGAACAAAGTGGTCACTGCTGAATGCCCAATGTGTCAATAGCAGACACCAACACTGAGTCTCGAATATGGCACCATTCTCAAGGGTTGATCACCCAGTTACCTGGTGGACTGATGTATACATTGCTTCTGATCAAGGACCCAACTTCACAGCAAGATAGGTGTGGCAAAGGGCCCAGCTTCATGGAATTTATTCATCTTACCATGTTCCCTACCATCCTGAAGCAGCTAGCTTAACAGAATGGTATAATGGCCTTTTAAAGACTCATTTACAGTGTTCATTAGGTGGCAATATCTTTCAGGGCTGGAGCAAGGTTCTCCAAAAGGTTACATACACTTGGAATCAGCATGCTGGCTGGGGTAATTGATCTTGGCTACCGAGGGGAACCCCACTCCCTTAGATGGCCTCTGTATTACCATGACATTACATTCGTATTAGAAACAATCTTTTGTATTCTTCTTCTATAAATCATCTTCTACAAGGAATCTGGATAAAATACATAAGACCAAGCTCTTAAAGAAAGCCTTTTTATTTTTATTAGTGTTATTTTTATCTAAACTTTAAAAGAAATTTTTAGGTAGTAAGGTGGAGCAGATGATGGAAATTCAGAGGCCCAAACATGGTTTAGGGCTAAACTAAAAATAAACTGACATCAGTTTTTTACTTTAAAAAAGGTCTTCTAAATTCAAACACAGTGAGAAATGACTTTTCTAACTGCATAGGGAACCATAGCTGCATTAAAAACCTCATGATCATTTTGCTTTTTTCTTTATCCCTATTGTAGAACTTGTTTATTTTCTAAGCTTTCACCTATTGTATTAAATCTAATAATCATTAGCACTACTTATTATACATGTATATAAACTATGTTTGTTACTCTTTAATTTCATTACATGCATCTTTTTCCTAACAACAATTCTGATTACTACCTCTTAACCACGAAGTAAGAATTCATGATGGAATAATATCTATACCCAGCATCCATCCTCAATGTGTGATGTAGAATTGAATAACCTTGCCATCCAAAAGATTGTAGGTTCAAACAAAAAAATCTATATATCACTGTAGTACATATGTGTGATACTAAATACAATGAAGAAAAACAATGATTTCCTGAGATGAGTTGTCAGGCCTTAAAAAATGCATCAATATAGATAGATAATAAATTATTCACTTGCAAGATGATAGAATAGAATATGTATGTGAGATACTCATGGTTTTGTAATCCTGAGGAATTTCTTACACCATTTTGTAAAATTAGATTTCGAGCTTAAAAAAGATAATATGGTAATCTGATCTTTCTTGTATTTTTTTATAAATATGCACACATATGCATTTTTGTGATAAGCTTAGGTAAAAGTTTTTCTAGGTAAACCTTACCCAATTCTACACACATTAAGAAATGTAGTAGGAAGTACAAAACGTTACAAGACTCCATTACTTTGTTTTCTGCCAGAAGACACTAGGTGCCCCACTTATTTCTTTTCCTTCAGCCAGCACCTCAGCTGCCACAGAAATGACAGAAAGGCCTGTCTTAACTTTTTGTTCCCCCAAATCAGGATCAATGAGTGGGTTGAAGGATGCACGATTCCAAGAACCTCACAAAGCATGAGAACTGAATTATTCTGCAGAGTTTGGGGTCTCCAAATTGAGATGATTTGAGCGAGGACATAAATGACAAATAGCAAGAGAAAGGAGATCACAGTTTGCATGGCTCTTACGTGGACCTCGGTGCTGGGATCTTCAGTTCCTTTGCCACTGAGCTGCATCTTCTTCAGATGTTTCCACAGGGAAAAGATTAGCAGCAGAAAAGCTGTCAGGGACATAGTGAAGGGTATGAAGTTTGTAAGCATAAATACAGTCATACTTGAAAGGTGCATAATGTCCCTCAAGTTGGTCTTCCAAGTGACGTTTCCTTCATAATCATTCTTCTTCATTTTTGCATCTATGCTTAGCACTGTAAGATGACAAACCAAGATGAACAAATTCCCCCACAGTATCATGATAACCACTCTTTCAGCTCTCCATTTTAGGTGAAGAAATAAAAGACAGGAGAAATTGGCTATCTTGAGAAAATAAAGGATGCTGAGGCTAGTAGCAAGCCAGAGACAAAAATGGTGGTTTACTATCCAGACCATGTAAACAGTAGTACTTACTTCTGAACTATAGAAAGGTAGATTAAACACAGTTCCATACCAATTGAATACTATTATCCAGAGCAAACCAATTCTGGAGACAGCCAGAGCAGTGAGGATTCGGTCAGCACAGGAGATCTTGTGTTTCTTGATCCAGTCAATGCAGTTCACCAGTGCTATGAAGCCATTGGCAAAATTTCCTAGAATAAATCCTGTCATTATTAGCATGGAAAAAAAAATTTGTAGTAAGCTTATCAGATCTTGGGGGGAAAAGTCAAGCGTGGCAAAGAAAGTGCCAAACGTAATATTACTGCGCATGATTCCTTAATATCCTAAAGCTCCACCTGCATCTGGTTTCTAAATGTTCAGTGAAGTTCTCATTTTCTTTTAAATTCTGAGATCAATGTCAAAGCAGAAAAACACCAAGGTATGCTGAGGTCTGGGTTTAAAGCTTACTTCACTAAAGACATTGTTCCAATGATTTAAATGAATTCTTGTTCAGTGAGGTACTTGCTATAGGCTGGAAGATTTCATAGCTGATGTCGAAATAAGAGCTGAATTCTCATTTGTTAACATGCAAATAGACAAAGTCCCTTTCACCATTTTTGCAATTTTTTGCCTTTCTCGCCTTTACATCATTTGAATTAACCAAGTTAAGATGTAAGCTAGTAAAATTTTTAAATCGAATACATAGGATATTCAGTCAGTGTCTAAATTGATCATTGGATCTTCATCATCTAGTGATGACCATAATGGTTCATTATTGCTAAGGATTTGTTTTAACAAAAACATTAGATCCACACAGAAAGACTTAAAGGAACTTATCTATTGGTTTTCTAAGTGTTTCTTTTCAAAAATGTTCCAGTTTCCCTAGGACCATTAGGAAGGCTAATACTAAAATTGGAAGCAGATAACTAATATTCATAAATAGTTTCATTGTTTACAAGCTTATAAATACACACACACCACCTATACATTTCATTTGTTCTCCTGAAAAAGTCTGATGTGCAGTAAGATACAAATCATTGTCTATAATTTCCAAAATGAAACATATATATATCACGGAGGTATTTTAGATTTAAATCTGCTTCCCTTACATCAGGCTTTTTTTTTAGACCATTATTAATATTTATCAAGCATATATATCATATTTAGTTCTTTTATAAAGGTTTCTCTCTTTAGTCTACTTAATATTCACATATTAAATATTTAGTTAAAATATTTGGCAATTTTATAAATATTCCTGAAACTTCATTGTGATTTTGATTGTAAATGCATTGGGCACAAGGGCTTGGACACAATTGCTACCTTATGAAATTGATTCTATCTACTCAAGAACATGGTATATATCTACATCTACATAGTATATATCCTTTATGTTCTTAAATACAACTTAATAAATGTTGCAGTAAAATATGACATAATATTTCTGAGACTTATCTCCACACACCCTATAGTTTTTGTTGCCATGAGAAGCCTTTTCCTGGTAATGTTTCCTGAGTCTGGGGAGAGCCCCATGCTCGGGATTTTTACTCTGCTCTGTGCTTGCAGCTTCATGCACTACGTGGTAAATCACTTAGCATCTTACAACTTTAACTCTTCACATGAGCAATGGTATTTTGCACATGTGAGTATCAGTAAGTTATGAAGTACACAGCTTACCTGGCACATAAAAGTATAACTTCCTCTTTTCAGTGGCTACCTATTACATATGTCCACTTTTAATTTTACTTCATAGCTTATGTGCTTTATTAAAATTTCTCCAAAAGTCACATAGATGTTCAACATATATTCATTCAATGAATAAACTAATGAACTACATTAGGAAAACAAGAAAATCAATTTCAAACACAAAGCCCGCACTTTGAAGAGATTTCTTTGTGAATGTAAGTCATGAGTAAAGACTTCTTCATTTCTAAAACATACAGATTCTATTATATTAAAGGTTTAGCAGTATTGAACACAGGATATATGGCCATAATTTTCTCTCCTTTACTCCACCTCTTGAGCTCAATTTACTGTAAATGTTTTAGCTACTCATCAGTACCAGTAAAATAGCGATACTTGATAAAATAAAATATACCAAAAACACCAACCTCCCAAAGAGCTATATGCAATTAAAAGACTATCATTACTCAAGATTTGGTAATCTTATACATTAAAATGAAAATAAATTGTAGCACATATTTGAAAAGTATAATGGCAAATACAATTTATTTCTAAATGTAAATTAGATATTCCTACTAATAAATATAATTCATAAGTTTTTGAATGTGAAACTAATGATATAAAAAGGTTAATGGAAAGAAAGCAGCTTCATGATTTGGAGGAATTTCTACAAAAACATTTGTATATTGGGTCCTATTTTTGGGTCCTATTGCATATACTAAATTGCATATACAAAATACCACGTGCAGGCGTGCACATACAGTGCGATTGAAACTTCGTGGCCCATGCGCAGAAGTCGGTATTTTGTGGAAGAGCCACACTCAAGGAGCCAAAGAGCTGCATGTGGCTCGCAAGCCACAGTTTGCCTAGCCGCAGTTTGCCGACCACTGCCCTAGACCATCTCCTAATCTTTTGGTCAATACCCTGCCTGAGCCAGATCGTCTGTCCATTTTGGACTTGAATACAACACCACATTGTGGAGCATGAGATCTGACTTTCTAAATGGCCACCAAGGGGCATGAACAGAAATGTTAGTTCTGCTTTGGATAAAACCTGGCCAATGGGAAATAGGAGACATGAGAGAGCCCAAAGTATGCATTCTCTCTCCTCTTTCTCCTCCATGGACTAATATTGCTTATGGTTCCTCCTTGTAACCCTCCCCAAAAAGTCTTGTGTGCCAATTACTGACCATCATTTTGTCTCTCAACACATTGTAAGGTGGCAGCCATCTGAGTAATGTACCACAGCACATCATTCTATATCTTCTCTTGCTTCATTTTTACATGTGCTTCCTATTGCTGCTTCGGATGCCATCCCAAATAAATGTTATCACTTTAATCCCTGAACCTTGATTCTGGCTTTAGAGGCCCCAGGCTAAGGTGTTCATTGAATTGTACAACTGTTATTAGCTCACTTTAAGTAACTGTATTATATT